TATATATATAAATATATATATATAAATATATATATATAAATATATATATAATATATATATATATATGTGTGTGTGTGTGTGTTTGTGTGTATATGTATATATATTGCAATTGTGATTTTCAAAATTATTACATCGCTTTGTAAATGTTAATTATTAACAGTTGATGAGTCTCCTCATACAATTTGCTAGAGCGCTTGGACCCGGAAGTCATTTCATGCGAAATCACAAGCAGCTGCTTATTTTCAATTTCTCAGAAATATCAAGATAATTGTGCAAAGGTCTCTCTCACACTCACACACTATACTCCATATAGCTTTATATAAAAGCCAGAAACTACGCTTTTTACTGATGATCAACAGTAAAAATGACAAATTTTACCGTTATAGACATCATTATAGACTTTGCAATCAAAAAATGTTCTTATAATGGATGTCAATGGGGCAAAAACAGCCACCAACATAACGAAAGGGTAATCAATACGCCCAGAGTGCATTGTTGAGCTTTTGAAAATTTTCAAAGCATTTTTCCAAAATATGCGTCAAAATAAGATGTCACCAAAATCATTCCATTTGCCGAAACATGGAGAAGGTTCTGGCCAAATTAAGACTCAAAATCACCACAGAGTGGATGGAAACATCCCCAACCGCACACAAGGGTTAAAGGGATCATATTATAGATATATTTTGTCACCTACTATGTGTTTGAGAATCTTCAGCTCAAAATACCTCATGGATCATAAATGAAATGTCCAATTTTGGGCAGAAGCAAAAACACACTGATTTCATGCATGCTTCTTTAAGGCGAGACACTGCAGGCAAAGAAAAAAAATGAATTTAAGGTGTTTTTGTGCATGTTGTTTCAGTCTAATGTAAAAGAAAACATCAAATTACACTTTTAAGTGTTTCTTATGTCACACCTTTTCAACTTGTATCAGTAGATTTCAATTTCAATCCATTTTTTTTTTTTAATGTTTTTAATTATTATTTTCTCACCAATTCGTTATTCTGGAGGGGGTTTTTTTACAGAGGGATTTGCTCATACATAATTTGCCTGATATACATAATAATAATAATAATAAATAATAATAATAACAACAACATTTTTTTTCCTCCTCTTGCAGTATTTTCCTAATTGTGGATTGATAAATAGGTTACCAAAATCCCAATAGGAAAAACAAACAAAAAAACAAATCTGACAATAAAATGTCCTAAAATATTAAAATGTTAATTTTGAACCGGACTTTATTCAATGTTTAAATGTTGTGCTTGAAATAAATGCAAATGAGCGCATATTTAATAAAATGGGTGTTCATTTTTTTAATCCTATTCGCCAGCAGTGCTCTGCCTTAAATGCAAATAAGATGCTGCTTCTCCCCGCCCTCATTCCAGAAGAGGGCGGAGCCTTTAAAGTTTGAACAACAACCAAAGCATCTGCATTCTCGCATAAGTCTGGTCAGTCTAAACCCCTTGAGTACGATGTTCCAATACAGACACACAGATGTTTGCAGATCTGTTTTTCATGCTTAAACAGCAACGTTAACATTACAGGAAGCTGAAAGGGTAAAACACATATAATATGACCCCTTTAAAGGAACGGTTCATTTTAAAAATGAAAATGTCATTTACTTGCCCATGCATTCCAAACTTGTATGTCTTTAAACTGAAAATAATAAGGGGCATTTTTGTGTAGAAACACGATCCTGATGTGCGCTAGACTTCAGATAAAAGTTGTACTAACGCAAACCTAAGAAAACCCAACATGAAAAGGCTTCAACTTTAAAGTATGAAAATGCAAAAGTGAAATCTGATAGCCATGGCAAAGACCTTTCAGTGAATAGTTTTGGTGTTCTTTGCCACCTCTAGTCTTACGTAAACCGCATGGAAATAAAACAGCTTGTGTATGTTTTACACAAAGAATCAGTAAATGGCATAATTTTCATTATTAAGTGCTAGACTAGGGGTAAAAGCTAAAAGTTGTGATTTTTAAACGTGTTTTGCTCTCCAAGAGTGAGCTTATTAGTCAAAAATACAGTAAAAATTGTATTTTAAAAATATTCACCATTGTAAATTTTCATACTTTTAAATTACTAGCCGAACTGCACTACAGTCATCAGTGTCACAAGATCTGTATAATATGCTGATTTGCTGCTCATGTTGTTAGTATTAATGTTGAAAAACGTTTTCGATTTTTTTATATTTTAGTGAAAAGTTTTTTTCATGATTCTTTTATAAATAGAAAGTTCATAGAAACAACTTGTTTATTACAAAGTTTTTATACAGGGTGTCCGTGGGGTATTAAAAAGTCTTAAGTTAATAACACTTTTAACTTTAAAATGTAAATGTAATTTTTACCATCATGGTTTAATAATTTTCCTTACAATACCATTTGTTTAAAAGTTCTCCATGTATTTATTGCTGAGGACAAAGACCTGGTAAAACTGTTACATACATTTAGTTTATTATAGTTTTTTTATTATTATTACTTTAAAGAATAAAGGTTATGTTAAAGTGTATACACAACAAGAGCTTGCTTGTTTTGACACATTATTTCAAATATGTTGCTAAAACAAACTATTTTTTTTATTATTAAATTATTATTGTATTATTACATACATTTTCTTCAGCTTAGTGCCTTTATTCATCAGGGATTGCCACAGCGGAATGAACAGTCAACTATTCCAGCATGTGTTTTACACAGCGGATGCTCTTCCAGCTACAACCCATCACTGGGAAACGTCCATACACACTCATTCACACACATACACCATGGCTAACTTAGTTTATTCAATTCACCTATAACGCATGTCTTTGAACTGTGGGGGAAACCGGAGCACCCGGAGGAAACTCAGACGAACACGGGGAGAACATGCAAACTCCACACAGAAATGCCAACTAACCCAGCTGGGACTTGAACCAGCGACCTTCTTGCTGTGAGGCGACAGTGCTAACCACTAAGTCACCTTGTCGCCGTTACATTTATTCAATTAAAATAATTTTTTTTAAAAGGGAAAATACAAATTAGCCCGGTATAAGTCTAAAATGTCTACATAATGGTCTTAAAAATCCCTTAACTTAGTGAAACCTGCAGGAACTCTTATTATAATCAGTTTATTGCATTAATTCTATAAAGCATTAATAGCAAATAAATATTGATTCATCAAGGTGTAAAAATTAGAATACCTTGTATTATTGAATTATTATTGAATTTGAATTGTGTTGTATGACTGTTTTCAAAAAAATCATATGCATAGCCTATTTTTCAACATTGAAAACATATAATTTAATATTTAATCAGCATTTTATGATCCGACCACTGTTAAAATTCTGAAAATTCAGCTTTACCATCATATGAATACTTTTAATTTTAGAATAACTACAGGGTGTCCGCCGGGTCTTAAAGTCTTAAATTTAAAGTCTCAAGTTAATTTTAGGCCTTAAAAAGTCTTAAATTTACTGGAGTATTAGTCTTGTAGGTGTAAAATAATTTAAAACGGGTCTTAATTTTTCTCTAAAGCTACACAATTGATCCAACACCCAATCCAATCACCAACAACACATCTCAATAAAACTTTTAGCAAACTATATTCATAACTAATAGTCTATTGTGCATAAATTTAGTGTATTAAAGTTTTTTTTTTATGTTATGTTGAAAAGATTTGCACATATACAATTAGGGTCTGCTTGATTGATAAGTTTTCCTCTCTGCTGGGCCATTTAAAAAACCCTTAGCTTTTAGCCCAAAACAAGTCTGAAATTTCATTCATCTTAAAGTCTTAAACTTGACTTGGTTAAACCTGCAGAAACTCTTATTATAATTAGTTTATTGCATTCATTCTATAAAGCATTAATCGCAAACAAATATTGATTCAACTAGGTGTAAAATATGAATACCTTGTATTATTGAATTATTTTTGAATTTGAATTTTGTTTCCACAAAAATATGCAAAGCCTATTTTCAACATTGAAAACGTATAATTTAATATTTAATCAGCACTTTATGATCTGACCACTGTTAAAATTCTGAAAATTCAGCTTTACCATCATATGAATAATTTTAATTTTAGAATAACTACAGGGTGTCCGCTGGGTCTTAAAGTCTTACATTTCAAATAAGTAAATTTAAAGTCTTAAAGTCCTAAATTTACTGGAATATTAGTCTTGAAGGTCTTAATTAATTAATAAATTATTTTAAGCAAGTCTTCATTTTTCTCTAAAGCTACACAAATTGCAAATTAGAATTTGTTTCTTGATGGTGCAAGTAAGTTTTCTTCTATGCTGGCCATTAAAAAATCCTTAGCTTTTGGCCTATATAATGATATTCATGATGGTTATAACCAACTAGAAAAATGTTTTACTGTAATGAAACTTAACAATATTGTTTTTACTGTATTTTGTTCAATAAATTCAACCTTGCTGAGTAAAAACCTAGAAAGAAAAAAAAAAAACGTTTACCCCATCAAATGGCAAATATTAGCTTATAGTGTAACTCTCAGGACACTTAACTTCACAAATAAAACATTATAAAAACAGTTATTTACATCATTAGTTTAAATATGCCTGAGTGATCAAATCAGGACTTAGAAACAGAGCGAGAATCCGACGCTATTTTGGCTTCTTGCAGTAAAGTCTCAAAGTCGGGCGAACACACCAGCTTGTGTGTGATGTTTCCGAGCACGGTCATGTCCCCGGTAAGGCCCTCCGACAGACGCACACACACCAGTTGCTGCAGATATACAAACACCATCACATGAAACATCCTTTATGTTAATGAGAACTACAGTGCATCAACAAATAAAACAGGCTTCAATAATAGCCGTGAAAACTGTGTGGACAGAACTGAACTTGGACTTCAAACTCAGAATAATGAGCCCTCCTGTATATTTCTTTTCCAATTTCTGTTTAATATTTTTCCCCAACACATTTCTAAACATAATAGTAGTATAATAATATTGCATCTATTAAAAAGAGGATTTGCCAACTCACCTGCAGGAAAGAGAAGGCTGCTCCCTCTGAGACGTCTAATGTAACATTTCCCATGACCAACTGGACTTTACCAGACTTTCTGATTTGCAGTTTTCCAATCAGACCCTCTGAGAAGTCAGACAATACAGGAACGGTGCTTTTATCAGGCTTGTCCTAAAAAAACGAGATCAGCATAGCATTAACCCTCCTGTTGACACAGAGGGCTCCTATTTTACCCTTTTTGCATCGCTAAATACCCATCAGATTATTTATTATACAATTCAGAATATGTCTACTTTGGTGTCTGAGTACAGTGTAGCTGTTTTTGTAGCCTGTGCCTTTAATGCAAATTAGCTGGTTCACCCCACTCACTGCTCCCATTTGCATGTCTCATGATTCTCATGCATTACATCAGATAAACAGCAGTCAGTGATAGAGACACGGATGAAGCTGAAATACAGCTCATTAGTCAAAATTACCAAGTTAGCTTGTTTGATGTATTTGTGTTGGAGTTTATTCGAGCCTTTCTGCAATGATGAGTCCACACAAATGCCATTACGAAGTTTGCAGTACACAAACACACACACTACTGACACCAAGCAACTGGGGTGACTCTAGCTTATGAATTACATAGTCTACTTTATTACAAAAACATGCACTGTTTAATTTTTTTTTTTACTTTGTGAAACTCATTCTTGAGGTGCAGATGATCACAGGATGTTGAACAGATCTTTCTTTGCAAAAAAAAAAAAAAAGTGCTTTGGACATGTTTATATCTGTTACTATGAAAAAATGTTACTATGCGCATGCACATCAATTCGGTGAGCAATGAAAACCACATTTCTTCATCACGTTTCGGTCATCCTCAAAATCAACTTAAACGTTGTTGGATATCTTTTATGATCAATTTGCATTTGTCAGGTTGTGGAATGTAAGAAACGTGACATACTTTACCAGCTAATGCATGTGCAATAAGATCAGCTGCAAGAATACCTTTATGACTTTTTATCAAATTTAATTTATTCATTCTCCTTTGGCTTAGTCTCTTTATTCATCAGGGGAATGAACCGCCAACTTATCCAGCATGCTTGACACAGCGGATGCCCTTTAAGCTGCAACGTAGTACTGGGAAACATCCATACACACTCATTCACACACACACACACACACACACACACGTCGACGTTTAACACCTTGAGACTAAATAAAGGGCGTCAATGTGTGCACACTAAAGGCTGATTTATGCTTTTGTGTCAAACGCCGGCTGACGTGCACCTCTCAAAAAAATGTAACTACTCGTCGCAATGACGCGTAGCGCAAGCTCTGTGATTGGTCGGCTTGGTAGCGCTGACAAGTCTGGGCGGGACCGAGAGCCGCGCGAATGGTGCGAGCCTGATGGAGCGATTGTTTACAAGTGTGGAGTCCCACGAAGGAGCTCCGGATGGAAAGTTTTGTTTTGTGTTTACCTCATAGTTAAAGTTGTTGCACGTCCGCCAGTTCCTGCCTCAAAATGAGCGAGTTTGAGATACTTGTACATCCAGGAAGTGTTCAGGAAAAGCAAAACAGCAGCGAAGAAACTCGACACAGAGGAACATTAACACCTCACTGCCAACTAGCGTTTCGGAAGTGTAATACAGACCAACAGAGACAGCGCACAGAAGTATAAATGCACAGCTACGCGCGTTGCATGCACCGTGGGTCACGCTGGTCACTTGATGCAGAAGTATAAACCAGGATTAACACGAAAATCGGCAGGCGTAAAAGCGAAATTTTTAAAGAATTTTTTTTTTTTGACGCGCCACATCAAAAACTTCTCCCACCAAACAGATCGGGACTTTTGTTCACGTGCACGGAGCTGCTGAAGTTACAGTAAACAGCACTTGGAGACGCTCAAGCGCAAAAGTGTCAATATGAGCACACGTTGAAGAAGATGCCCAGAGGCGATATGAACGTGGAGCTGCTTATTGCTTTGGTGAACAATAATCATTTCATCACTAGAACTGGAGCTGCTACTTGAACCGTCAGTAACAATAAGCGTGTCAACTTTGTCTTCTTCTTCTGTGTTACAAGCTAGTGTCAGAAGCTTAAAGTTGTGTAGCACCATCTAACTTCAAGGAGTGATTTTGCATACTCTTCTGCTTGATGCCAGTGAAAATCGCTTGGGTTTGAATCCGGAAAATAATTTAAAAAAGCTAACGATAAACACAAATGAAAAACGTCCCGCTGTGCCTTAAGAGTATGAAATATGAACTTACTATAGCTTTAATATGCGCTGTACGCTTCTCTTCTGCCTTGCAATCCTTTCTGGTTTTCTCTGGGCTGGAGGTTTTAGGTTGACCAGGTATGGTATCTGGAAGCTGAATAAACAGCAGCTCTTCTTTATCTGAAACGCTGAGCTGCTGGAAAAGTTCTCCGACTGTTGGCTGTTCTGGACCTGCAGATGAGCTCCTCGATGTCTGCGGGTATTTCTGCTCAACTCTTGGTGAATGTCTTGGATTATCAGACGTAGTTTCTTCTTTAACTGCAAAGATGGATTCAGTAATTAGTTTTCTCGAACCTGAACTGTTTAAATTAGCAACACAAGGCACATAAAATGCAACTTACATGAACTAGCTGCATCCGTTGACAAAAAGTTGCATGACTGATGGAGTGGAAGTCTGATTGGTCTTTGCTTGGGGTCGTTTTTCAGTCCAGGATCATCCAAAAACTGTTCAATCAAACAGTTAAAATGATTCATTTTTAAGACTTAAAGGGATAGTTCACCCCTAATTGAAAATGAACTCACTGGGCCCTATCATACACCCGGCGCAGTATGGCGCAAGACGTGGCGCAGTAGTCTTTTGGTAGTTTCAGCTTGGCGCAAGAGTCGTTTTGAGGCGTTGGGCTACGCTGTTTAAATAGCAAATGCATTAGCGCTCATTTTTGCGCCCATAGGCGTTCTGGTCTAAAAAGGAAGGCGTTCTGAGGCGGACCGCTGGCGCGTTGCTATTTTGAGAATCTATAATAGATTTTTCATTAGACCAAAACAAAACTGGTCTAAACTCCGGCGCAGAGTTGCGCCTCGCTTACGCACTGCTTAATACGCACAAGAGAGCAATAGGCAAATATCTTTACATATGAAAAAATTTTAATATTAAGGATATATATAGTATATAATAAGAATAGATATAGAATATAAATATAAAGGATTAAAATATTACAAAACATATTATTTTCTAGCCTAAATAAAAATGAATAACCACTGCTTTTATGCCTTCTTCATCTCGGGAGGCTTTTTCAGTTCATTCAAAACAATTTGCTTTTGTATAATGTTATCATTATTAGCAGTATTATTTATTATATCCATATTTATATTTGTTTTATTAAAAACAAGCTTAGATTTGCCCACCTGTCAGGTTTTAGACCATATGGGGCACAGCATGTGTTTTAGGATATAACTCAGGTTTTTGAGCACATTTTGTTATTATTGTTAATTTATTCGTTTGCTGGAAATTAGAACTGAATTTAGAAATAGTTTTGAAATGAATATTTGCGCTTAACAAACAAAAGTATTTATTTATTAACTAATTGATGTCTGTGCGTAAAGGTTTCCCTTTCCAAGAGCGAATGTGAAAGTAGTTCCATTATCTATCATTCTCACGCAGTAGATGCTCTGTTTAACAGTTTTCTGTTAAAAAACTGTTAACTGTTTGCTTGTGAAATGCTCATTTTTTCCAGTTAGACTTACTTTGCGTCCTGTTAATAGCGAATGCGCTCTTGGCGCAACACAGCTGCCTCTTAAAGGGAATGGGAGATGACATTCTAATTGGTTTATTCTCAAAACACACCTAAAACTCATTAAGAAAATAAACTCAACCCTTTTAGAACATGCACCGCGGCGCAAGGCAGATTTCCCGTCCTTAAATTAGCAAAAATGCGTTCAGACACGCCCTGAAAGCATTTGCGCCCTGCGTTTTGCGCTCTGCGCATGGACCGTCAAAATAGAGCCCGCTATTTCTACTCACCCTCAATTTGTTAAACTTTATGATTTCTTTTTTTATGCTGAACACTGAAGATATTCAGAAGAAAGCTTAAACCATTGACTGCTACAGTAGGATAGACAAATCCTATAGAAGTCAAAGGTTACAGGTTTTCAGCATTCTTCTAAATATCTTCTTACATGTACAACAGAAGAATGAAACTCTAACAGGGTTAGCACAAGTAAAGGGTGAGTAAACGATGACAGAACGTTCATTTTGGGTGAACTATCCCTTTAATGAAGTTATCCTGTACATACAATAAAGGATCACTGTAACTTCTTACATCGTCTCGTGTGAGTTTTTGTAAAATTGCATTGTCGTCGTCCTCTGTGTTGTTCTTTTCCTTTTTAATGCATTTTGTGACCAGTGCAGGATCACAAGCAGTTAGGTTAGAGCTGCCCCAATTACCTACAAGACACAAAAACAGGCATCCCAAACTATTTTCAGCAAATATATTACAGTTGATGTCAAAATTTATAGCCCCCCCTGTATATTTTTCCCTCAATTTCTGTTTAATTGAGAAGATTTTTTAACACATTTCTAAATATATACATAATAGTTTTAATAACTCATTTATAACAACTGATTCCTTTTATCTTTACCATGACAGTAAATATTTTACTAGATATTTTTCAAGATGCTAGTATTCAGCTTGAAGTGCACTTTAAAGGCTTTACTAGGTTAATTAAGTAAATTAGGCAAATCATTGTTTAATCTGTAGACAATCAAAAAAAAATCTTGCTCAAGGGGCTAACAATATTGACCTTAAAATGTTTTTTAAAAATTTAAAACTGCTTTTATTCTAGCCGAAATAACAAATAAGAGTTTCTCCAGAAGAAAAAAAAATATAATAGGAAATATTATATACCCAATTTCTGTTTAACAGAGAGATTTTTCAACACATTTCTAAACATGATAGTTTTAATAACTCATCTCTAATAACTAATTTATTTGATCTTTTCCATGATGACAGTAAATAATATTTGACTAGATATTTTTCAAGACACTTCTATACAGCCTAAACTGACATTTAAAGACTTAACTAGGTTAACTAGACTAGGTTATTGTATAATGATGGTTTGTTCAGTAGAATATCCAAAAAAATATTGCTTAAAGGGGCTAATAATTTTGTCCTTAAAATGGTGATTAAAAATTTTAAAACTGCTTATATTCTAGCCGAAATAAAACAAATAAGACTTTCTCCAAAAGAAAAAATATTATCAGACGTACTGTGAAAATTTCCTTGCTCTGCTAAACATAATTTGGGAAATACTGAAAAAAAGGGGGGGCTAATAATTCTGACTTTTTCAGCCTGTTTATGTTATTTCACTTTAAAGACCAGGAAAATTACTTATTTTATTGACTGCGCTTGACAATACAAAAGAAGGCTTTGCTTCAGCAGAATAAACAAGTGGTTGAGGTTTGCTATAAAGTAAATGCTGCTTTACCCGAGTATACTGCTTTTTCACAGTATACAAATTTTTCACAGTATTTCCTATCATATTTTGTCTTCAGTAGAAAGTCTTGTTTCTTATTAGTCTTATGAAGCTGAATACTAGTATCTTGAAAAATATCTAGTCAAATATTATGTGTTGTCATCATGGCAAACATAAAATAAATCAGTCATTAGAAATGACTTATTTAAACTATTATGTTTAGAAATGTGTTGAAAAAATCTCATTTTCCATTTAGCAGAAATTATGGAAAAATTATAAAGGGGGCTAATAATTCAGAAGGCCTAATAGTTGTGACAACTGTATATCCCACTTTAATTATTCATCTAGACAGTTGGCATTTAAACTGCAGTATAAATATATACAAATGTTTAAATTAATTAAAACTCATGACACAATACTCATATTTAACATAGTACATATATCTTTAGACTTCTACTGTGCAAGCTAAGTGTAATGAAATATTCATTTGATGTTGTATAATGGAAAACAAAAACCAAAGGGAAAAAAATATCAGACATATGGAACAGTTTTTATCACATCTCCATTACATGCTTTACCTAGTTTCCTATAGGTGTCAGCAGGGCCCTGCTCAAAGATAGAGTGAGACTGAATGGTCTGAGGCTTTTCTCGTCGCTGTCGTCTCTCTCTGTGTCTGTCTTCCCTGTCTCTTCTCTCTTTTTTTGGTGCACTGTGAGGCTCCTCCTGTAACCTCCACAAAACAGTTTCAATTCAGAGTGATTTACACCACAAACAAATGAGTAATACCTGCTATTAAAATGCATTTTGGTGGTCCTGCTAAAATTAAAAACAAGTGTTAACTGACAATAATATAGAATATATGGGAGGATGTTAAGTATTGCGATAATGATATTTCTTGCAAAATAACATTTCCCTAGAGACATGGTACTATTTATTTTCCATCTTTTAAGATTTTTTTTTTTTTTTTGTAATGATCTTACTAAAATAAACTGGCAATAAGATATTTTTCTGATCTGACTGGATCTAATTCAGGCAAACAATAAAAATAATAAATAATATAAATAATAATAATAATAATAATATATCAGTGAATTTATCTATATTTCTATGTATATTCAGTGCTCAACATAAACAAGTACACCCCTCTCAAATCTCTCATTTAAATTATTATTTGCTATAGGAAGTTTTAAAATATTATATTTGTGCATATACATTAAATTAGTCAGTAATGAAGCTTAATATGGAGCTAATCTAACCAAATAACTTATGATAACGGTCCAAAAATAGTACACCCAAATGTTTATGTTAGAGAAAAAATGTATTTAAAAAAATAAATAAAAAGAGCAAAAAAAGAAAAAAAAAATAAATAATAGATTTTTTTTTAAATTTTGTCGTTTGTAATTTCCTTTCCAATATTTAGCATTATTTTTAATGTATTATCTTTCTATTTCTAATGCTGTTCGGCAACTAAAATATTATTTTAATAAATATATCTGTTTAATAAATCTGTTTTGTTCAAATGCATCAAAACACATGACCTATATTCACTGAGAAATTGATAAAAATATTCATTTTCAAAACGAAGTGTACATATTTATGTTGAGCACTGTATATAACATACATTTCCCTGCCACTTTATTAGGTACACCTTTCCAACTGCTCGGAAGCGCAAATTTCTGGTCAGCCAATCGCATGGCAGCAACTCAATGCATTTAGGCATGTAGACATGGTGCCACTCCTGTCAGCTGAAAAATTTGGACAATAGATGATTGGAAAATGTTGTCTGGTCCGATGAGTCTCAATTTCTGCTGCAACATTCGGATGGTCGGGTCAGTATTTGGCATCAACAACATGAAAGCCTCTTGTTACAAGCGTCCTACCTAGTAACAAAGGTTCAGGCTGGTGATGCTGGTGTAATGGTGTGGGGGATATTTTCTTGGCACACTATGAGCTCATTAGTACCAATTGAGCATTGGGTCAACGCCACAGCCTACTTGAGTATTGTTGCTGACCATGTCCATCCCTTTATGACCACAGTGTACCCATCTTCTGATGGCTACTTTCAGCAGGATAACTTGCCTTGTCATTAAGTGCAAATCATCTCAGGCTGGTTTCTTGAACATGACATGAGTTCACTGTACTCGAATGACCTCCACAGTCACCAGATCTCAATCCAATAGAGCACCTTTGGGATGTGGGGGAAACGGGAGATTCACATCATGGATGTGCAGCCAACAAATATGCACCAACTGCATGATGCCATCATGTCAATATGGACCAAAATCTCTGAGGAATATTTCCAGAATCTATGCCACGAAGGATTAAGGCAGTTCTGAAGGCAAAAGGGAGTCCAATCCAGTCCTAGTAAGGTGTACCTAATAAAGTGGCCAGTGAGTGTATATATCTATATCCATCCATGTGTGTATAGCATTATTAATGTATTTAAATATTTATAGTTATGCAATTTAGCCATATTTACAAGGCATATTCTAACTCCCAACCCCAGAACACAGTTTGCTGCTTTGACAAAATCTCCATTATAAAAAGCCCTATCAAAATGAAGAAGAATTATATTGAGCACGAGTACTACAAATACCAAACAAAGCAATAGAATGAGATCTTTAAAAATACTTACTCATCTTTACTTTTGCGAACGGAGTGAACATTTGGAACAAAGGTTTTCTGCAAGGGAAATAAAAACACAGCGAGTCAATTAATAATTGTTTGGTTCATTATTAAAGTAACACTCATATTTATTACACATGACCAGATAGTAATTAGACTAAAATTCTAATAAACTGACAAGTATAAACATAGTATGAGCCAATGACATGATGACCTAATTTGATGTCTGCATTAAAAACAATTTACAAAAAATTTAATTTAATTTAATATTAAAAAGAATGTTCAATGTAATGAAGTGTCTATAATTTGATGTCTCAGATTTTAGAGAAAGTAAAATGTCAAGAATATGGGTAAAATAATATTATTCTAGTGTAATTTAAAGTAACAGGTGCATTCATGTAAATTTAACCTGCATTTATTAGATAGATAGATAGATAGATAGATAGATAGATAGATAGATAGATAGATAGATAGATAGATAGATAGATAGATAGATAGATAGATAGATAGATAATTTTAATGCGGCTGAAAGGGCATCCATTGCATTAAATATATGCCAGAGTAATTGGCGATTCATTCCGCTGTGGCAACCCCTGATAAATCAGGGACTAAGTCGAAGGATAGTAAGATGAGTGAGTGATCATGTTAAATTGTATTATACAAATATATCCTAATGGTTATGGTTTTTAAAAAAATGCGCTGCACATTTACATTTTCTTCATAATTTTCTCCAAAGCAGGTTTGAAACCATGTTTTTATTGTGAAAAGCACAATGCAAGTAACATAAGTTAAAGGAATAGTTTTCTGAATACTTTAAATGTAATAATGAACTCACCCACAAACCATTATACATTTCTTTCTTCAATTAAACAAAATTTGATATTTTGAATATGTTGAAAACCTGTAACCATTGACCACCATAGTAGGAAAAACAAATACTAAGAAAATCACTGGTTACAATGTGGTAAAGTTAGTTTTATTTTCGCACATTCTGACTTTCTCCTTAATAATATAATTTCAAACAAGTATTATTGTTTTATTAATGTTGTATCACCATTATACAACATTGTCCACAGCCAAATAAATAGTGCTAATGTTGTTTTGAAGTTACATGTGATTTCAGTCCTAATATTCCTGATAAAGTACTATGGTAAACAATACTAAGGTAAAGTTGATTTTGTATTCGCACGATTGTTCAGTTTTTAACAGCGACAACTTGTGACACGCTCCCTGTATTGTTCAACAAGCTACTTTGACTATTCGGTCTGAAATAGCATGTAGGGATGTCTTCAAAACAACATTGGCACTATTTAATTGCCTTTCGTTGTTCTTAATGTTTCCCTTTGACAGTTGTTGGCTGCTAATATTAATTCATTATTTAGAATTTGCAAACAATACTTTTCTCTAGTTATATTATTAAGGAGAAAGCATGAATGTGTGAATATAAAACCAACTTAACCAAGTTACCGTAAACAATATAGTGAGCATTAGGCATGGGACGATAACCGTTTTCAAGGTATACTGCGGTTTGGAAAAATCAAGGTTTTAAAACTGCCGAAATCTTTTGCTATACCGTTTCCTAAGGTATGTATTTGTTTGTTTTTTTATTTATATTTTAATTATTATTTATTTTATCTCGTTTTTTTTTTTTTTTGTTTAGTTTTTTTTTAGGACAAATCTCCGACAACAAAAACATATCTAAAGGTGCTACTTTAAATTGTAAAGAAATTTGAGTTTTTGAAACTAATGAAGACAGCAGAAGTCAAAGACTTGTTTTAATTATTTACTGTAGCCTGACATGTTTACTGTTGGAAAATATTTAAAATGTTTCTCAAAGTAAAATTTTTTGTATTCAAAGTGGAAAAAAAGTTAGTTTTTTACCCAGAGATTTAAAAAGAATATATTTTAGAGAAGTAATCACAATACTGTGAAACCGTGATATTTTTTATCCAAGGTTATCATCCCGTCAGAATCTTGTATCGGCCCATGCCTAATGATAATATCACAAGTTCTGAATGAACGAGCGAATATAAAACCAAATTTAAAGCCTCAATAATAGTTACAGGTTTCCAGCATTTTTCATAATTATTTATTTTGTGTTTAAGGTAAGGTAAGGTAAAACTTTATTGTCCCAGTTAGGGAAATTTGTCTTGTGATGACTGCAGCTGAGGGCAAGAGCCCAAACATGGACAAAACAATAAACATCCAAAACACAAATAAGTAATTCAATAAATTCAACACAAGACAGAAACGAATAAAGGTTTGAAACAAGGAAAGGGTGAGTAAATGATGACAGAATTTTTATTTTTTGCGTGAACTATCCCTTTAAAACTATCTTTTGTCTTTGTTAAAGATTAAAAACAGCATTAAAAAGGTATTAGAATGAGTAACCTTTTTAAATCCTCCCAGGGTCAGGTCTCTGGACCGCAGGGAGGTCAGTCTGCCTGGTGGAGGAGGATTGTGTGAAATTCTCCCTGGCAGTCCTTTAACGTTGCCCAGAGCAAAAGACGGTCTGAAAGTGGAAGATGAGCTCGCCTCTGCGTCCCCATCTCCATGATCACACATCCTGCCAAACACACAAACAACAAACCCTACTGAGCAGCGTGCAATATGTGATTACTCAGACTCAAACAAAGGTGAAAACCTTAATTTTCCAAGAGAAACGATCGTTCAAAATACACTGAATGTGCGCTGACTTGGATTTCAAGACGCGCGCGCCTCCATTTTGTTAGCAACCTATGCTATCAAAACAAAGCCTTTCATAGCACTTTATGACATTTAGACGGACATATTTAAAAATGCTGCGCACGGCTGCATTAGAGATAAGTGAAAATAAATACTATACGTACTTGAAATTTGTGTAAACTGCTCACATCATATCTGCCGAACTCTTCCAGCTGACAGCTACATCCTTGCAGGAGCATCATTGGTCACGTGATACGAGCCCTCTGTTAGGAAAAGATTACTCAGACATTATATTATATTATATTATATTATATTATATTATATTATATTATATTATATTATATTATGTTATATTATATTATATTATATTATATTATATTATATATCATTTTTTAATTTTTACATATTATTTTATATATCATCTATATTATATTTTATTTTATATTATTATATCATTTTATATTATATTTATCACAATAACAAATTTTTTTTTAATAAAAATAAATAAAATACATTTAAAGTTTTTATTTGTCCATTTAGTCTTATGGTGTCATCATGTTGGTTTTGTTAATAAACTCTCAATTAATAAAATATTAATAAACTTTTAACTTAAAAAAATTATAAGTGCTGTATATTAAATAATAATGAACTAATTTTAAATATTTTGTTTTTAACGGTTATTTTATCTGAACAATAAATAAACATTTTGTTTCAAATCTATTTACATATATATTTATAGCTATTTTTATAAATATCATATTGTATTAGGCCTATATAATGATATACTATAATAACTCTGGACTGTATTTCATAAATACTCTTTAAAATTGTAAATGGTAAATTTTAATTTAATGCACAAACATTTTAAACATATTTATTTAAAGTTTATTTCATTCCTTTTATATGGTCTCTTTTGTGTCATAAAATGGTTTATTATCGGACTGAATTTTAAAACTACTGTCTATGAAATTTCGTGTTTTGTGTAAAATATACTCAATATTTGTAAAATACATTTATTTTGAATATTATGCATTAACAAGTATAAAATAAAACTAAAATGAAAAGGTGAAAAATAAAAACATATTTTATAAAAAACTGTTGTAAAAGTAACCACTTCAGTTTTGGGACACAGACCCCTTCCATCCACCCTTCTTCTAACTCATATTGAACAAAGGGCGGCACTCAACTTTTGGCTGCCCTCACTTTTTTATTCCTATTTATATTATATTATATTATATTATATTATATTATATTATATTATATTATATTATATTATATTATATATTTTGCTAGCAGAGAGCTTGTATCATTCCTGTTAGAAAAAGATATAATAATATAATATAATATAATATCTAGTTTTTCACAATAATGAATAAATATTGTTCATTAAAATAATGTAAATACATTTAAAGTTTATATTTGTGCAATTTGCAACTAATGTTTCTGAAATAATTTATATAGTTTTGTTTTTTGTAAAATATATTCAATATTTGTAAAATATATTTCTATTTAATAATTTAAATAATACACAATTAATTATAAAATAATAAACAATTTTTTTAATTTAATTTATACACTGGTATTGCCCCAAAAAAACTCTCGAAATGTTACTTAAGAGTCAGACTTATCAACATCATATTTATGGCGTAACAGGAGCTGAACGGTGTCAAGTGGGCACTTTAATAAGTTTTGGGACACAGACCCCTTCCATCCACCCTTCTGGCTCATATTGAACAAAGGGCGGCGCTCAACTTTTGCCTGCCCCACTTTATACTCCTCCGGTCGGTCAGAGTAACTCACACAGAGCCCGCGATGACTGGCGCTCACTCTCCGCGGGAATGATCTGATTTGAGGCTGCGGAGAGTCAGCGGTGCTCTGTGAAAGTCATGGCCGCTCAGTGCGAACCATTAAGCGGATACTTACAGCAGTCTGACCCGGGCTCCAACAGCGAGCGCAGCACCGACTCCCCGCTGTCCGTGTCTGAGGATGACTCCAGCGGACCCACGGCGCCTCCGGACCCCGAGTGGACCGAGGAGAGGTTCCGAGTGGACCGAAAAAAACTGGAGATCATGTTATTAGGTAAAAACCGTTGTTTCCACGACTTCACTAGCCATTTTAGGAGTGTTTAAAAGTAAAGCTCAAAGATTAGTTCTTTAAAATGTACGATTGTGTTTAATAATCGTGGAACAAAACAGTTTGAACAAACTAACAGCCTATTATTAAAGCATCTTCAAAGCTGATGTTCAGCTTCTCCTTTGTTCGTCTCCTACTGATAATCATTTTTCCATACAACTTTTTAAAAAAAGTTTTAATTTCTCTTCTAGAAAAGTTTGAACAACTTTCATAACTTTTTTAAAGTATATAAAAGAGTTAGGGGGGGAAGCAAGAAAACAAGTATTCAGACTCCCTCTGAGATCTGTTTGCTTTGAATAAAGTTAGCATATAATCTCTTAATTTCTGCCGCAAAAAATCTTTATTTTTAGGTTTTAAGTTCCTGGATACATTTTCAAACACATAATTAAATATTGTAATGGTATAACAGTTAATTATATATTTCTAAGATATTAAAATACTGTGATATTATGTTTAAGTCAAAGTTTAGTTTCTCTTAAACATTGTAGTGATGGTTAAAATATATTTTAAGATATGTTTTTTTTATATAATTTATTTTTAAATTATTATGTATTGTGATATTATTTAAAGTCGGATTAGTAAAAACTCCCTATTTTGTCCCATTCCTGATGTAGGTAAAAATCTCAACCAATAGGGGACAGTATTAAAGCATCTCAGATTTTGACATTGGTCTTGATTGCTTGATTGTTGAGTTTCCTCAATTTGCTGAAGTAATTTTACAATGGCAATGTGTCCAGTTGCATTATAAAATCAGAGGATCTAATTGAAATGTAATTTCTGGCTTATTATTTTAATGATATGTAGCTTTGACAATATAAAAACTAAGTCTAGAACTGATTGAAAAATAAAATCATATTGCCTTTAAATTAAGAATCACTTTTCCAACTCATCTTTTACCATTTATTATAGCTATTATTATAAATTATTAAATTATTATAAATATTTATTACAACTATTGCATTTATCAAGAATGTCTTTATAAAAACTGATATAGAGTTCCCATTACTGGCTCTTTAGGGATGGTAAAACACTTTGAAGCTCTCTGCTGTAATGATTTATCCACGTCGGGTCATGCTTTCCGTGTTGTTTCATAGCTCTGAGTGAGTTCAGAAAGGGATCTCATCGTCTTACACACATAAGTTCAGTCACCACAGCAATCCTTCCTACTGAGGTCATTCAGCATCTCCTCACAGGATTTAACAGTGTATTTGATCGACCTCCTTGCTGCAGAAATGTGATTAGGAATGGCGGACATACCCAAAACAATCATATAACGATTCCTAGACCTAAATACTATTATTAATGCTGTGTTTTGAAATGACCCCTATAGCATGTCAGCCCACATAGAAATATAATAAATGGCAAACATGCAAGTTTTTGAAAATCAAGCTCATACTTAGATTTTACATTTCTAAAACATATTTTGAAATATTGCAGAAATGCCCACATGCCCACTTTTGTCTATTAATTTTATGTGTTATATATATATATATATATATA